AATTGTCAAAAATAAGGCATCAAGTACAAATGAGAGGGGGACAGTGGCTCACCTCATAGAGTATCCGCTGAGAGGTTAGTAGCAAAAGGGAGTACACCTATCGAGTCCCATAGACGGACAAAAAAGTATTTCCCATTACTGTCACCCTTACAGCCACCCTAATTTATTTATATAACAATATTTACCAAGGCATAAAAAAGGGATCGGATAGCAATTGGCATTCAGCCAGTTACCATAGGTTGTTGATATGGCATACTTGTAGGTAAGAGTTATTTTCCACATTTCCCACGTTATAAGTGGTGAAACCTTTCCAAGCCTTATATAGTCCATAATATGTGCTAATTTTCATGATTACAGTTTGTAAGTCTTTTATTAACAAATTGTCTTTTGAAAAGTAACACATAGTATATCTATCATAAAAACATTTTATTTTCTTTTATTTATATAAAATAGTTTCTTATTTTATAAACTACTTACGGTAATACTTTTATTACAGTTTTAAATCAGATTTAATAATTCATAAATGTAATTTACAAGCATGCTGTACTAATATTATAATGATTATAATATTATAAATATGTTTATTAAATCAATACAGTAATTTATTATGGTAGCTTAAATTACAGTATATTTTCTAAAGTTATACCGTACAAATGGGTTTTAAATATTTTAATTTAACATTAATTAAATTTAACCTACTTATAATCATACTTATTACTTTATGAAGTAATACATTTTATGATTATCATTGAGCATATTTTAAAAACTTATTTAAAAACTTATTAGTCATTTTATATTTTATTTATATCATAATAAATGTCTTGTTGTAAATAAACATAATTATTATCATGGTAAAAGTAAGGGATCGGATAGCAATTCGCATTAAAGCCATTTACCTGACGGTATCACTTGATANATTTCAACTCTTTATATAGTCCACTATATTAGGCTATTTTAGTAATTACAGTTTGTAAGTCATCAGCGTCAATTTAGTATTAAAGTAGCATAGAGTTGCAGCTGATTAATTATTTGTAGTTTTATAATAGTTTTTTAATGTATATTTTATGTCAAATAGTTATATAAACTAGTTGAAATAATTTTTCAATATTTTTTTAAATTGAAAAATTATTTAGGTTAATTTTACTTGATTATTTAATTTAAATATAAATTAGTTTAACTAATGATGTGGAGTGTATTTAATTGATCAGGGTAGCAACTAAGCTGTAATCAACATAATAAGCACATATTGTGATCCATATAAAGGTGTGGAAAGGTATGCAAATGGAAAATAATTCTTCTCGTGGCAGATAAGACATCAATAGTTAACTTAAATCATCGCCGAATCGGTCCATTGAGTCTTATCTGTTCAGCTCATCCATTATTTTTGTGGATCCACTCAAAGATCAGACAAATAGGTGATAAAACCTGAGACAAAAAGATAAAACTTTATTATAGAGACTATTCATTAATTTAAGGCAAATTATTTTTTATTTTTAAAAATAATTTTGGTTTCAAATAAAACTGAGCTAACACTAAATATATAAAAATTATCAGAATATTTTTTAACTTTAATATTATAAGCTAGTTGAAATAATTTTTAAATATTTTCTAAATTATTTCCGAAACGGTCTGCGAGTTGCAGATAAGACATCATAACGTTGTGCCAAATCATCGCCGAAGTGGTCTAACGAGTCTTATCTGTGAACTCAGCCATTATTTTGTGGATCCACTCAAAGATCAGATAAGAAGTGATAATACTTTGGAAAAAATTGAAACTTTTTTAATAGGGACTGATCATTCATTTTAAGTCAAATTATTTTGAAATGTGTAGTAATATTGGTATAAATTTAAAATAAAATAACACTAAAAATATAAATTATCAGGACATTTTAAAAATAGTGTTAATTGTAATGTACAAGAATGCATGATTATTACCAAAATAAAAACCATTATATTTACACTACTATTCAATGAAAGTACAAATCAGCGTATGCTAGCGCCTTTTAATTTTTAAATTTCTTAAGACATTATTGATTTCAGTCATATAGATTATCAGTAGATAAGTTATTTTATAATCGTAAATATCATTACTATTTTTTCTATCTTTATAATCACCGGTTCATTAGATGGTAATATACATATTTTTGTTTTTAGACATTTCATTTATACATAAGGTATTTAACATATTACAGTTTGAAAAATTATTTTGTACATAGAAAATAATTTATTTTATTTTATTACAGCTTATAAAATAATGTTAAAATTTTAAAATTATTTTAGCCTTAAATATGTTACAATTCTTGCCAATTTTCATTATTACAGTTTATAACTAACATTTTTATTTTATTTTTTACACACTCACTCTATTCAGTCACTATGTTTTTGAACCGATTTCCAATAGGCCAATAAAAATGTACTTCAAAAAAGGCCAGGTGGACTATTTTAGAACAGTATGGTACAAATAATTATTATATATTTTTGAACCATTAATATAATTATAAAAATAAAATTTTAATATATTAATAATAAGACAATTAACTATGAAATATATTAATGATATCCGCATTAAATTGTCAATAATACTATTTGTGGATATTAAATATTTACATTTTTGCATAATGCAATTATTTTATAAAATAGATATGATCATTTGTTTTATCCTTTTATATAATCTATACACATATAGATTACATAATACCTTCATATGATTACATAATTTATTAATTCAGGAAATAAAATTAAATGGATAACATTAGAAGTGACCTGGATACAGTCACTAAATTTTATGTGGACCATTTTCATAAAACATTTAATTTGGATTCATGGCTTTCATGTAACACTACTGTCCCATACGAGTGCCATAACGAGACTAATCTGACGGTTATATCATCTAAATCAGAGGATTCAGGATCTAAATACGTATTAATTATCTCGGTAATTTAATTTGTATTACTATATTATATTTATGTATTTCCCAGACTATAGTGGATCTGTCATCGCAGGCTATTATCGAGTATTTGTTATGCAAATTGAAAATGAATTTATTTTTCAAATACTCGGCAACAAAGTATCCAGCAAATAATGTTGAGTATACAGTATTTATTCATTAAAATTTATATTTAAATATTTGTTTGTAATTTCTGCTGGATTTAATAGTCGGAAAGTGTGATGACTTTGCCATCGTATCTATACTTCATAGACTCCATGAGCTATAATCATGTCATTCAGAGAAATGCGTTTCAGTTGACTATACTTACGGCACAGACAAGTTTAGTGAATACATGCCCGATCAATATAAAATGCTCCAGCTTACAACTAATAACCAGGTCAAAGTGATTACAATTAGGCATAGTATAGTTGAATTAGCTAAACTAGGTGTTATAATCGGAAAAGGATTATCGGTGTTTGTGTCCCGTAGCCAGGGTAATAGTTTAGTCATGGCATTGGTCCAGGATAAACCACTAATCATATCCGAAAGCAAGTATGCGTTCACTTTCATGGCGTACGCGGTCTCTAACTCTCATCCATTGAGTCCACAAATAACTAAATTGTAATCAAAAAACTATTTTTATTAAAAATTTTGGTATTAATTATGAAATTGTTATAAATCTGAAGGATATCTGACATAACCGTCGCTGGCATTCATCTAATGGTCAAAACTATGCAAAACTATTGTATTTGTTGGTGGGGACGGGTGTTGTTGGGAACCTGAGAGACCTATTCACACAAATTGGCTACAAATGAGAACTTTATTAGTTTGCGAGATATGGTGACAGGTATAATACCGGTGCTCGTAGTGGGCTGTGTATTATCGATAATTGTATTTATTATTGAAATTCTAACCATCAATCGACACTAAACTATCATTGTATGTCAATTAATGATCTAGATTCAATTTCTGGAATATCTTACAAATATAATTCAATTTTCGAAATATTATTTTATTTGTATTTTAAGTACAAAATAATGTATTGAATAAAGAATTACAGATAAGATGAACACAAATATTGGTTATTATTTGGAAGCAAAGTATTAAAACTGATTACAATTTATGGAAAGTTTATAATAGTTTAAATTTTAAGACAATTTGTAGCAAACATTTAATCAAATATTACAACTAATTGGGAATCATTTTCTTATGATTGATGACAATCTCTTTGATTTTGAGACACTTTTCCATCAGATTCTCAACACATGTTTGGGTGAACTCTTCGCTACCATTGAGACGAATGGTCTGTATTTTCGTGAACACAGACAACGTGTTTAACGCCTGATCGCTAATAACTGTCGGATTAATGGATAGGTATTGGAGTCTCGGTAGACATCCACTGATCTTTGAGTACATCCACTGATCTTTGAGTAAAACTTGTAATCAATGAGACTTTCCGTTGAATCGATAGACAAATACTTTGAGGGAATGTTCACTAATTTCGAGAGAAATAGTGTTTTGAATTCGTATTTAATTTGAAATTTATGACTAAAATTGTTTTAATTATGAAATTATTATAAATCTGATGGATATCTGACATAACCGTCGCTGACATTCACCTCAAGTCCAAAGCTGTGCACAAGTATTGCATGGGTTGGTGGGGACGGGAAACACCTATTCACACAAATTGTCCGTAAATGAAACCTATATCGCAATATGAATAGTCTACCGGTGCTCACAATTAGCTATGATTTACACAAAATGTGAACTAAAAACATAATTAGATGCTGTTTACTACAAATATATTGATTTTTAAAATACCGGTACTATATTATTGAATGATCAGTTTAAGTTTACTGTAACTGTTAAATATATTAATTATTAAAAATTGACAAAGATTATAATTACTTAAGAAATCGTAGTGAAAATTAAATCATATATCAAATTATAAATTACATGATTTCGATATGAATTAAACAAAACATCAAAAATACAAATCAAATGAATGTTATCAAATAATTTGTCTAAACATATGTTTGAATTGAGTAATAATTGCTGTAAAAGTATTGTATTATTTATCCTCCATATAACCCCTGCCCTCCTGTGCCACCCGTTTAGGTATGCGAATACTGGCCCCACGATTGGCCACACCTGACGTAAACGTATTCATATCCGACCCGTAAAACTGGGACCCAATTAGGCGCCGGGCGTTATCGGCGCCCTCGTGGGGGTCATAGAGGGCGAGATGTTTCTCATGCCTTTTGCTCAGCTTTTCGATGGCCCTCTCAATCTCCGTCAGCCCTCCCTTTGCACGCATTTTCTCTGTACTGAAGTTCATGTGAGCGCCAGAACCCGGCATATTGGGTATGGGTTTCGGGTCAAAGGTTACGGCAATGCGTAGGTCTTCGGCCACTCTGTGCAGTAGGTATCGAGACATGAGTACGTCGTCGCCGATGCGAATGCCCTCACACCCACCTATCGATGATGGGAACGGTAGGTATTTAGTGGTACAGTATTGAAAATATTATTAATTATATTTATGTACTTTGCATACTGATTAGTATTTGTATTAAATTCAAATATGCTATACTTCACAAAATAATTAGGATGCATGCTGGTTTTAGTTATGATTTTAAAAATTAAAAATTATACAGGTCACAAATTGCCCAGTAATAATTTTATAAGTTTTCTATTTATGTCTTCAATATAAAGTGAAAATATTGTTTACAGTTTCTAATAAGATTTTAAATTTACTTTTTAATACCGTATTAAAAAATAATTAAAACTTATCTGAAATATCAAAACTGCTATTCACTCTATATAAAACACTAAAAATATTTTATTTAAAAGTTATTATATATTTTTATATCATACCGCTCAATTACGCCATAAATAATCTAGATAATATGAAACTTGTTTACGAAATAAATTTTATAAATAGTTTACAGTCTAAGTAATCGAGTATTCAGATCTAATATCATAAATACCATTAAATCATCACTAAGTCTAAAGAGTTATTTCATATCATATTTAGTTTACAGTCTATTAATGAATATAAACTATTATAAATTAAAGCTTATTAATTCACTAAAAAGTGTACCTGGTACTCCCATTGGCCAGTTATCGCCTCCGCATTTTCACCGCTAATATTAACCCCGGCGTACAGACCGGCCCTGAAATGGGCCTCTATTACATCGCGACCGCACTGTATTTTCGCACCGACGCCATAGAGGTAGTGGACGTTAGGGGACGATATACTCTCGGGATACCCGCCCTTAGGCCACCCCAGGGGCCAGTTATCGCTGGCATTCAGAAGCAGGTACTCCTGTTCCAACGCAAACCATGGGTTCTCTCCCTTAGCCGCCTCCATAGCCTCCCGACACGACTGCCTATGATTACTAGTCATGGGTGTCATGTCGGGGGTCAGGGGGTGTCACACAATACCAGCTTATTATTACCCCTACGGAAGGGGTCGTTGTATAGCCGTACGGGTCGTAACACCATTTCGGTGACGGTGTCGGTGACTAACCCGCAGTCCCATACGGGTAGGTCTGAGGCCTGTTTAGGCACAAAGTCGATGACCCTGCTCTTGGGTGTCACACAATACCAGCTTATTATTACCCCTACGGAAGGGGTCGTTGTATAGCCGTACGGGTCGTAACACCATTTCGGTGACGGTGTCGGTGACTAACCCGCAGTCCCATACGGGTAGGTCTGAGGCCTGTTTAGGCACAAAGTCGATGACCCTGCTCTTGTTGCATAAATGCTCAAGACCATCTTTAGCCGGGTGCGAGAACACGTACGTTACCTGTACTTTGTCGTCCGGTTGAGTGAGTGATAGATACCGGGCCAGGAATGCCGGCGTTGAGGTTAACGGTGCCGATTGGGAACTCATAATTATTTTGTGAATAATAGTAATTAAAGTTTTTTAAGTAATAAAAACTTTTTTGACTTATAGTTGATTAGACTCTGAGTTTATATACATTCAGAAATGTGTTATCAATGAATCAGTTGCGAGTAATTAGTAACAAATAAAAGTGATTTATTATTTTGATTACAATATGACACAAGCGCTATAACTTGTAATTATTTATTGCACTGATGACCAAGATGCTTCAAATTAATCAGTTTTACAATATTATTACATGTATTAATAGTAACGTTTTAAAATGTTTTAAAATTATTATTAACTCATAAAAAATTATTAAATTAATTTGCATACAAATAAAAATATATTGACTAACGTTTTTTGGAGCCAATTTGTAAGTAATCAGGGCCGCCCTGGTAGTTTTATTATGTGCACCGATATCATCACGTTTATCACAAACTCGAGTACCAATATGACAGTTGCACTATAAGTTTTGACAATTGTGCCAGTACAATTACCATTTAATAACAACTTTGACTACTTTTACAGTACTAATGATTACATAAACACTGATAACCTTACGCTTAGTATGCGATAAATACTATTTAATATTATTTTTTAATAACGAAAGAAATAATTTTAAGTACTATTAATATATTATATTTTTAGAGGTTAGACATATTGTTGATTAATAGTAACTATATATAAAATGATATTTGTGGTACTTATTAATAAATAAGCTAATTCAGATAACTTGTATTAAGTAAGTAAAAATAATAGAAATCAGTTTATCAACTGTGTAATTTTAATAAATTTTCAGATGAGCAATTAGACAAAATATTAGTAACTAATACAAAACTAAAATATTTTAAACAAAATTAATTGATTTTTCTCAATCATCATAAATCACGTTTTCAGTTCATAAACAGTTTTATAAGTCATTAAAATTACGGGACAAACGCAAAGGTCATATGCCCAGGTCAGACCAAAGGTCATAGGTCAAAATAATTAAACACATCTTGAAGAGCAATAAATAAACTTTTATTTAAGCTATTGTTCATAAAAATCTAATTGCTTATAGAGCCAGGATGATATAAAATGTGACATAGGATTTCCCATACTAATGACAAAAATTTTGGAAATTATTAAATATTAGTATCTCAATATATGGTGCAAATAATATATATGAAAAAAATTTAAAATTATTCCAATTAATAAAGGAATGGCAAAGTATTTAAATTTACGATTTTTGTGCAATAATGGACTAATACCTATAACATTAGTAATTGCTGTAGATCAACAACTTTGTTAATGTATGATCTAAATTAATATTATATACACTTAATATTATATATATAATATTGTATTTACTTTATTAAGTATTTATTATGTAATTCGTATGATATATACTCTATTGTGAGTAAAATAATGGTGATATTTGTTTGTTTGCAAACCAAATGAATATGAAATGCATTTTATGTGTGAACCAAATGATGAAATCTTTGCCATTAGTGCCAAACCACAGATCAAACAGTCCTCCAGTATATGACATATAGTCGGTGAACGACAGTAACGGTTCCTCCCGATAGACAAACACGGGTTGAGTTGAGTCCCAAACCAATGACATCTCTGTTATCCTATTCTCATGACTCGAGTTATGCCACAAATCGTTACCAATTTGTGTGTCACTCGACACCACTTTATACTTATACCCAACTGTCACACAACTGTACTTTAAAACAATATATCAGACATTTTGATGTTATGTCTCTAATATTGGGTTGGAAACTAAGTACTGTCAAAATCATTATTTTGAAAACTACATTGATTAAAAATAATTTGAAAATATACTTTTTTCATATTTTCATTGTCTTTCTCTACATCAATGGACAGACAACTATTTGAAAGG